AAACCTAACACGTTAAAAAAAAAAAAAGACTAAATCTGTGTAAGTATTACGTTCTCTACACTGGGCCATTTAAAAAACTATGGCTTGATTTAGAATTTGAAATAAAACAATAATAAATCCTTCCAAAGCAAAATTTTTCATTTCAAATTATATTGAAGTGCTAAGTTAATCATTTTTTAATAACCAATTCTTATTAAAATTTCTTTTTTTCTTCCTCCTTCTAGTAGTAACAACTTTTCCTACTCTGTGATTTAGAAGGATGTTTTGTCACAATAGGAGCATTTTTCACCCAATCACATTTTCCTCATAAGAATCCCAGGTCTGGAAGAGGTCTATGGCTGGATCTTCCTGCCTTTCTGCTCTGTTTACCTTGAGGCTTTACTGGGCAATGTCACAATTCTGCTGGTCATCAATATGGACCAGACTCTCTGGGAGCCCTTGTTATACTTTTAGCCCTTTCGACAAACCTCAGTACCCTGTATGCTGGGTATCTTCTGAGACTATCAACTTCACGAGATTAATTTTGGAGATTGTGTGGCCCAGATGTTTTGATCCATGCTTTCACTGGCATGAGGGCTGAAGTCCTGGTGGCCACGGCCTTTGACCGTTATGTGGTAATCTGTGCTTCATTCCCCTACATGACCATCTTGACATCCTGCGTATTGCTGGGCGTAAGTTTGTACACTTTAATTTGTCTAGTTCTGCTTACACTTCCCATGATCATCTACTGCCTACCCTTTCGCTAGGTTCATGGAATAATATTTCATTCCTACTGTGAGTACACGGGAATTGCAAAACTGTCCTGTGGAAACATTTATGCCAATGGTAATTACAGGCTCTTTGTGGTCTGTCTTTTTCTCCTGCACGGAGTCCTTGTTGGCATCTCCTATATTTACATGTTCCGTGCTCTTTTCTATCTGCCATCCCAATATGTGTGGCTAAAAGCCCTAAGCACATGCGGCTCCCACGTTGCTGTCCTCTGTGTTTTCTATCTTCCCTCAGTCTTCTCCTTCCTCACCCACCAATTTGGGCAAAACATACCCTGATAAGTTCACATTCTTGTTGCCAATCTCTATTTGGTTATCCCACCCTCACTTGACCCCAATATTTATGGTATGAGGACCAAACAGATATGAAAATGAGTGCTCCATTCCTTTATTAAAATATAAGGACTATTACTATGTTCATTAAGAAGCATTTTGACCCAGAAAAAAAAAAACCTGTGTGTAATCTTTCCAGAAAAATGGTGTGTCTACGTTTAGTGCTATCAAATTCCATGCTGGGGATTTGATTTTGGCTCATTCATGATTCTATACTTTGAATTATCCTTAAAATATTTCAAGTTCAAGTACTTATTCCTATTGTGGAAGTAAGAACTGTTTGCATGACTTCACTCTGAATGTGGATAATATGTGCAACTGACCTCTCCTAGCATAATGTTCCTTAATACTGTTTCCCCCCCAGTTTTCCCTCTCAGCTTAACAGAAGAAAGACAAGGAAACATATAACAAGAAACTTTGTTCCCATAACACAGTTTTAAATATATTATTGATACTATTTATCTTAAATGTTAATTTTATTCAAACATATGAGGTATTTAAGTTGAAATAACCTACTCAGAGACAACGTGACTATCAGAGGCTTTTTTGTCTTTCTTAGAGTTCAAATTTATCACTTTAACTTCAATAATTTCTGGGGAATGGAATTGTGATTTTTAATTCATGTAAATGGTAGCACTGTGTATGACCTCACAGACAGTTTTTTCACTTAATATTAAACTTAGAGATATATCTATGCTAATACAAATAAGACATAGTTATTTCCTTTAAAACTTAGTAGAATCTTTCATTTGCATTTTATTTTTCCTCATCTTTTGATGACATGAATAGTACTTTAGTTACTTTTAATTTAGAATCAATGTGACATCTTTATGAATTATTTTTGTGCATATTTGAAAATTTTCTAAAGTTTCTATATTTGGAATTGTTAGAGAGTAGGCTACAGATTAAAAAGTATTGCTTTCTTGGATTGTATTTCTTATTTACTGTAATTTCCTTCCCACCTCACCAATTTTTCTGCCTAGCTTCTTAAAAGTCTCATTGCATGAGTTGAGTGCACTTGGTATTAACACTTTCCTATAAACCTTTTGTATTTACTCCTTTATTTTTACATTAAATGTCGTCATTGCTGCTGCTGCTAAGTCGCTTCAGTCGTGTCCGACTCTGTGCGACCCCACAGATGGAAGCCCACCGGGCTCCCCCATCCCTGGGATTCTCCAGGCAAGAACACTGGAGTGGAGGCAAGAACACTGCCATTTCCTTCTCCAATGCATGAACGTGACAAGTGCAAGGGAAGTTGCTCAGTCCTGTCCGACTCTTAGCGACCCCATGGACTGCAGCCTACCAGGCTCCTCCGTCCATGGGACTTTCCAGGCAAGAGCACTGGAGTGGGGTGCCATTGCCCTCTCCAAATGTAGTCATTACTGATTATAGTACCTATGGCACAACCTTCAGTCACTTTCAAATCTAGGGCTCTGCATAGCTTTATTAGATACCATCATCCCAACATCTATTTTATTATTTGGATTTGTCCATGTGTGTTTATGTGTATGTATTAATTTTTACATTTTCTTCTAGTCTAACTGCAATTTGTTTTGGTGTAAAATGCAGGCAAGAAAATTAAATACTCTCTTTTTCTATTCCTAACTTGCTTTATAACACGGTTGCATTATTAAAATTACACAATTGAATTGTATTTAATCTTTCTTCATATTGACTTCAATTTATACAAGAATATGATTTTCATTAATAGAGTAGGCTTGTCTGCCTGTCTTTACTCAGTATCACATGTTTTAATCACTACAGATTTGTAATATATTTGAATAACTTTCAGAGCTGATTATCCTTCTGTCTTGCCTTCCTTTTGTTCTTTATTATAATTTTTACAAAAAATGTTGTCACTTTGCCATAGTTAACAATATCCTCATGGAATTTTGAGTTAACTTATTCTTGGGCTCACTTACACAAAATATTCATTTCTTAAAATATCAACTAATAATTAAATATTCTTCACATTTAGATAAGCACAGATAAGATGTTACATGGTAATTTTGTACTGTGGCTACTTAGTAAGCTAACATTCTATTTCCCAGAATCCTCTCCCCTACTACTTGTCAGTTTTGAGTTGGTTACATAAGAAATGCAGAAGCTGTGGGCACAAATGTGGAATGGTAGTCATTTTTGTTCTGTAGTTCTACACTTTACGGGCAATGACAGGTAAACAGTGATACTAGAAGGTTCTAATTTCTCCTCACTTCCCCCAGCTCCATGTCCAGCTATCCATTCTACCAACCCTGCTGACAAAGTTAAAAATAAAGTGGAGTAAAATTATTTTTAGCAAAGAAAAACAAAAACTCACCACCAACAGAACTGCATCAAGGAAATAAGACTTAAGTTTATGTAAGAAGAAACACATACCAATAGAAATAGTAGATATTGGGAACATTTAAATGGATATTTACTGTCCTACATACTTACATGTATATGAGTTTTAAATTTTATAAGAAGTAACCTAAACCAACAATAATATATGTCAGAAAGCAGATACATGGACTAAATTTTTTCTAAGATCATTTACTAAACAGAAAGTGATAAGACGGTTCATTTATATTAAGATTTGATAAGTTGTTTGGACATTTGTAGGGTAACAGCTAAAGTAATTGTAAAGTTATTTATAAAATAAATGCAAATGAGACTTACAATAGTAATAAACATAATTCAGAGAGCAAAAGTTTGTTGTAAAAGATCCATAGTTCAGGTTGAAGTAATAATGGCAAACATAAGATAATAATTTAACAAAACAAATAGCTGTAATTGTGTCAAAGGTGCTTGAAATAGTAGCATACTTAAGATACTAAAATTGCCAGATGGGTTCAAATATAAATTGTTTCATACTTGAAAAATGAAACAATTATCAGGATATTAAAAGGTTGAAAGGAAAAGGATGAATAAATGAATTTTTATGACTAAATTTAAACTCTGCAAGTTCCACAGTCATAAAAATGACATAGTCACCATTTTATTCCTGGTAGTTATGAAAATAGACACGCAAAGTGATTATAATTATATAGAGAGAAGAAAGAAGCTCGGTAAAACACCAAATGACCCACCAACAGTGGATACATTAAAAACTTCTGACATAAGCATATCAACCAGATATTGAGAAAAATAAAGAAAAATGATATAATCTACTTGACGCAAGAACAAGGGAAAACGAATATGCAGCACTGAATGCTGAGAAGTGGTCTGAAAAGCTGATGGAAATTAAATGCAGTCCAGTTCAGTTTAGTTCAGTCATTCAGTCATGTCCAACTCTTTGTGGCCCATGGACTGCGACAGCCAGGCTTCCCTGTCCATCACAAACCCCTGGAGCTTACTCAAACGCATGTTCATCGAGTCAGTGATGCCATCCAGCCATTTCATCCTCTACCATCCCCTTTTCCTCCCACCTTCTATCTTTTCTAGCATCAGGGTCTTTTCCAAAGAGTCAGTTCTTCACATCAGGTGGCCAAAGTACTGGAGTTTCAGCTTCAGCATCAGTCCTTCCAATGAATATTCAGGACTGATTTCCTTTAGGATGGACTGGTTGGTTCTCCTCCCTGTACAAGGGACTCTCAAGAGTCTTCTCCAACAACACAGTTCAAAAGCATCAATTCTTCTGTGCTCAGCTTTCTTTATGGTCCAACTCTCACATCTGTACATGACTATTGGAAAAACCATAGCTTTGACTAGACGGACCTTTATCGACAAAGTAACGTGTCTGCTTTTTAGTATGCTGTCTAGGTTGGTCAAAGCTTTTCTTCCAAGGAGCAAGCATCTTTTAATTTGATGGCAGTTAAATATTTACAAAAGAGACCCAATATAGATTCATATTTAGCATAATTTTTATGAAAAAAGTATTTTTCTACATTTCATGAAATTGCATATTTAGCCTCATATGAGCTAGATGTCATTCTCTTTTCTTTGTTTCAGTTTTAACATTTTCTTTACATGGTCATAGATCTGCTTAGTTCTGACTCCATATATGACAGGGTTGAGCACTGGCGGTACTATGACATAAAGATTGGCCAGGAGTATATGGATATAGCGGGGAACATTTTGTCCAAAGCGATGTGTCATGAAGGAAAAGAGGGCTGGTGTATAGAAAGCAAGAATCACAAAAACGTGAGAACCACAGGTGCTAAGGGACTTGAGTCTGGCTTCATGGGAAGGAAGACGAAAAACGGCACAGAGTATCTGAACATAAGAAAGGGCAACAGCTATGATGTCAAACACTAGATTACAAATTGCACATAAGCCATAAATAATATTGATCTTGATACTGGCACAAGATAGGCGAGCAAGACCCATGTGTTCACAATATGTATGAGGGATGACATAACTCCCACAGAATGGCAATCGTAAAATGAGAAATACAAATGGAATCACAAAAATAAATGCTCTCCCTATCACAGCAAGACAAATCTCAGAAACAACCCTGTTGGTGAGGATGGTGCTATATTGGAGGGGGTTGCAGATGGCTACATAGCGGTCATAAGCCATTGCCAAGAGGACTGCTGACTCCATAAGTGTGAAACTATGAATGAAGAACATCTGGGAGAGGCATGCTTCAAAGAGGATCTCTTTGAGACCAAACCAGAAGATCCCAAGCATCTTAGGGATGGTAGCTGTGGAGAGACCCAAGTCAATGGTAGCCAGCATGGCCAGGAAGTAGAACATAGGCTGGTGTAGACTGCTCTCAGCCTGGATCACAAACAGGATAGTGAAGTTCCCTATGAGTGCAATGAGGTACACAGCACAGAAAGGGAAGCCAATCCAGATATGGAGAGTTTCCAGTCCTGGGATTCCCAGCAACAAGAAGAAGGAGGGGCGAAACTGGGTCTCATTGGGAAGGGACATCCTGCTGGGCAATGCATATGTCTTCAGAACTGTAGACTCACACAGTCTATAGGACACCAGATAGTTTTCTGTAGCTCTGAAGACCTAAAGATAGTATAAGAATACTTCATTAGCTACCTTCTCTCATTATCACAGTCATCACTAACAGACAACCCTCATTTTGACCATTTTAAAATTCTGCAATCTCTAAATACAGTTATGGACATGAATTCCACTTGATTGAATGGCAACGCAAGGCTTAACACACAGGATGGATAATAACATTTCAAAAAGCATGTAGATTAATCAAAATTTATAACAAAATATTAAAAATTACTTTAAAAATTAAAATGGATTCACTCATTAGTATTTAGTCATGAGTATACAATAATGTAGGGATAATAGTGAAAACAGCAACATCAACTACCAATTATTGAGGTGCTCCTACTATTTATAAGACTTTTTGCAAAAATTACTCCTAATATTTAAAAAAACACCTTTTAAGATGAGTACATTTTACATATAAATTGTCTAAAAATCAATGTGTTTAAAAGATTTATCAGAAGTTTAAAATGTTTTCAAATGAACAGATGGGAGATTAAGCTAGAGAGAAAAGTAGTGAATAAAAATGGAAGAAAAATAGAAATAAAAGCTATGCCTTATTTTTGTTATACTGTACACAAACACATAATACTCCACACATATTATACAAATACACAATCATTTTTAAAACTCACAACATCTACCTGAATAAAATATGTTAGTATTTCTCATTTACAGCTGAGTGAGTCTTGATTTTAGGGGTTTAAACTAGATGTCAAAATGCCAATCAAAAATGAGAGAGAAAATTAGGAACATTAGATGTTCCTAAAAAATTAGGAACATTGTTAAATCAGGCACATGACAATTCAATCATTTTCAAGGTTCCCTATATCTTTCTTTACATTTTCATGTAGTTTGCTTATAACATTTGATAGGAGATTTCCAAAGCATCTATGCATTCATGTGTTTAATTATTTTGTAGTGAAAAGTCTCTCTTCTGATTATTTGAAGATTCCATGGCAGCAATATTAATTACGACCACATTTTCAGTAAGTAAGTCAGGATATCATTTAGGTGCTGATATAAAGAAGGGCAAAAAAGAGCATAATAAACACGATGTGGAGGAAGCAGTTGAGTATGAATGGTAAACCTGAAAAGAAGCAAAGTTAGGAGAAGGACGCATTCTGTGGCAGTTGTGACAGAAATAAAATCTATTTCCCTAGGGTTATGTCATTGCAACAGAATTGTAAATACTTTCAAAGGATATGGCAATGAATGACAGGAGGAGTGAAAGCAGAACTCATTTATGGAGGCAAGTTGTTCTGTGAATCCCATGGGTGAGTACAAGCAAAAATAAAACACATTTTCCTTTCTTTTCCAGTATACAAATATGCAACAGTTTAAAAGCTAATGAAAGTTTACTTTGAGTACTAAAGGGTAGGTTTGATTGCTAAAGGGTAAAAGTAAGCTACTTCTCTGGCTTTTCTAAGAAGGAAGGAATAATACTATATTATTCGATTGAGAATAATTTAAGTGAAAATTATATCTCCCTGGACATATATAATCATAACCTATGGTGGTACAGAAGGTAAATATCAAGGAAGTAGCCAGAAAGTGGTATGATTAAACCAAGTGGAAGACAAATATAGACAAGGAACACACACACACACACACACACACACACATTAGAGTAGAAACAAGGAATATACAGAAAGGAGTAAGATCTGACTTCTCAGCTATATAAACTTTAATGTTCCTGTGGACATTAAATAGTTTTGCTTCAGTCAGTCAGTTCAGTTGTTCAATCGTATCCAACTCTTTGCAACCCCATGGACTACAGTGCGCCAGGCCTCCCTGTCCTTCACCAACTCCCAGAGTTTACTCAAACTCATGTCCATTGAGTTGGTGATGCCATCCAACCATCTCATCCTCTGTCATCCCCTTCTCCTCCCGCCTTCAATCTTTCTCAGAATCAGGGTCTTTTCAAATGAGTCAGTTCCTCAGATATATAAACTTTAATGCTATTGTGGACATTCAAAAGTTTTGCTTAGCTTATTGTTAAAGAGCAAATTTTGTAAAACCCCAAGAACAACGTGTAACATCTGTGGGCATGTGAAAGTGGGAGGGGATAGTAAAGGTAGTCTTTACCTGTTGACAAGGCTTCAGGAATACAACAGTTTAGATGGGACAACAGTTTACAGTGAGCTGGATGTGTTGAAGGAAAGGTTGTTAGTGATCTTGGTTCTTGTCACTGAAATTAAGGACACCTACAATCTTGTGTTTAAACCATCTTAAACTTTCATTCCTGCCCAGAGGTATTCTATCCATTTGATGTTACCATGAGAAAACCCTGATATTTTCTCCTTGATTCCCTTGTATTTAAATTGGTAAAAATATCAGTGCTATGTCCAAGTCTCTAATGGACAAAAGCACATAAACAATAATGGAAAGTTCCATCAAACACATTTTAAAAAACACCCTTCAAGACATAATTGAGATATATACTTAGGGTAATGGTGAATGACCTCATACAGACTAAATATCCTTTTGTTCTGTGTTCTTAAACAGTATAGGCTAATAGTATTCATAGTGAAATATTGTACATATGAAGAATCCACAACTTCATGTCCTAACATATATATATATTACCAAATGATGATGAGAAAAAGAAATTGGCTATTTATATAAAAGTTTAAAATAGTAAAAACTATTATAGAGTCTAAGAAGTCAGGATAATTGTTACTTTGTGGAATACTGGTAGTCAGCATGAGTGGGACTCCCAGGGTGTTGATAATGTCTGTTTATTTACTTATATACTGGTTATACAAATGTAATCATTTTGTAAAAAATTGAGCCATGATTTTATGATGTGTTCCTTGTTTATGGATATGAAAGTTCAATAAAATACTTTCAAAATATGAATTCTTTAATGCTGAAAGAATATATGTCATTTATTTTTGTATTCCTGACATCACTTAGTACAGCCTATTGCATAAAGTAAGAAATCAATATTAAAATGATTAATGGTCATAAATATATCCTAGGATAGATATAATTTGCTCTCTAATCATGTTAATAGTTTCATGCATGTATGTATTATTCATTAAATACACATTATTGGATGTGTTCTGTGTTGGAAACTTTTCTGAAACATTTCAAATTTGAGGTTTGTGCAATCATGAATAAAATGTTATGCAGTTGATCCTTGAACAATTTGAGGGCTGTGGCACCAACTATCCTTGCAATAAAAAATAACATGTAACTTTATTGTTACCTTTCCATTTCTGCAATTTCACATTCTCTGATTTAACTAACCTTGGATCATGTAGTACTATAGTATTTATCATTGAAAAAAACTTACAATTAGACTCACAAAATTCAAATATCAACTGTATATAATCTGATGCAGTACTGAAAAACAAGGATATTCAAAGGAAATAAATTTCTAAAAATTAATAAAGCTATTCCACAAACAGGGAAACAAGTTCTACATCAATATGTGAATTCAATCATGTAATCTACTCTTAAAGGGCTTCCCTGGTAACTCAGAAGGTAAAGAATCTGCCTGCAATTCAGGAGACCCAGGTTTGACCCCTGGACCAGGAAGATCTCTGGAGAAAGGAATGGCAACCAGTACAGTATTCCTGCATGAAGAATTCCAAGGACAGACCATGGGGTATTAAAATAAAATGGAATAGAGTGTCTCAAAATTATAAGACATCCTTAGTCATACATACATAGCACCTCTCAGTAACAAGATCAAATGCTTCCCTGTAATTGTCATCATTGTGTGAGGCAATTCTATAAATGTATTTTTGTAAGCTCTAGAAATATAAGTCCTGTGATATTGAACATTTCATATTTTATTTCTATTTTCAATTTCATATTTTCCTTTAAAGACATCTGTTATTCTGATTAGTAAATACTGGTGATTCTTAACCATCAGCTTTTACTCCTGCTCTTTCTTATTTAATATTTCTAAATAATCTTATCCACATCCATTGCTTTAAAAACTTTCTTTATAATAAAGATTACTAAATGAATGTCACTAGTCCTCAGGACTGTGACAAATTCAGATTCATATAACCAAATTCCTGAGTAACTACCTTCACATTTTCATATGCAAAAATATTACAAATAAAATATTTCTAAATTTGAATCCCCAACCCTGCTTCTACAGAACTCCAACTCTAACTTCATCTTAACGGTGCTGTTATCAGTCTCAGTAAATGGTATTACTATTCAGTGACTTGGCCAATCCAGAAATATGAGCATCGCTCTTTTCCCTTCTTCACCTATGGAAAAAAGATTAACACTTGATTCTATTTCTAAAAATGTCATTAAATATAACACCTTTGTCTCCATCCTAACTGGGATGGTTTAAACCATCGATAATGTTTATAGCACAGTCCTTTCCAGTGCATAAGAGCATGAGCTCTACATTCAGACTAATTATGTTAAAAGCCAGCTTCATGATGTATTCACTCTGGAGTTGAGAGAAAGTAAAAATTATTTCTTATTAGCTGTGTGGGTCTGCACAAGAACTTTAACATCTCTGTACCTCAATTTCTTCATGTAGAAAATAGAAATAAGAAGTGTAAATAAACCCTTAAAATTAATCTCTATTTAGAACATATAATTCTTTCAAAAGATTTTGATCTGTATTCCAAAGATACTTGCTATCCACCTGTCTTTAGATATCAGGCAGACTTTTTTTTTTTTCCTGAAATGTATGTTGAATAGATTTAGGCTGAAATCGAAATAGATGCCTAGGATTATATGGTCCTTCCTAAATGTGATTATATTCTTTCCCTAAACTCCATCATTTGTCTCCCTTCCTGAAAACTTATCCCATATCTCTTTTTCTTTCTTTTCCATTCTTCTTTCCTTTCACCCATCACTGCGTCCTATAGATGCAGTCTGAGTTGGGGGACAGAGAAGACTCACTAACTAAAACTATCACAACATTGTTAATCAGCTATACT